TTCCAGAGTCTTCAACAGTCATCATGACCATTTCTGGAGAGCAGTGCAGTGAGACCAAAGTCATCTCTGGAGACAGATCCTCCTCATTCTTTGTTGATCCAGCATGTGCATCATGTGCCCTTGTAGAGCACAGAAGCCTCTGCACAGGGCTTTTGGAGACAGTTCCTGTGGGCTGGACAGCTAGCCACAGAAATTTTACCCACACAGTCCGGGTGTGGGGATCTACAGGTCAGCTTCCTTAAGAAATCTTGCAGTTTTGACACAATCCTGTGCTAGGACATCTCACCCTACAGACTCAGAGCACAGCTAAACTATGTCATGACTGCTCCCAACCGCCCCACTAGATGTCTAAAGTTTTTTCCATTAAACTCTTTGATACAACTTGTATGTAAAAGTTAACTTTTGCTACTAGTTGTAAAAGATGCACTGCCAAAACTGATAGAAAGTTAGTTTCAAGAAGCTCTTGCTCACCATTTCATTAAGGAATATGTTTAGAAAAGACCTGAAATTATGACCTTATAGACTTCACTCCCTCTCAAGGTGCCCCAACATTTTTTACCACCTCTTTTCTTGTCCTGTACAGAGGATGAGCCCTCTGAGACCATACAAGGCAATTCCACCTGTAAGGAAGATTGGTTAGCAGTAACCTTCAATGTGGGCATAAAACTGAAATGCTAATTATTAGGCAATACTCTCATCAATAGCAATAACAGAAATAGTTTTTTACAACACTAGAGAGAGAGAAATACACAAAATACAAGAAATATGAAATATAAAGAAAGAATCATAGCTTCCCACTTGAATTTATATGACTGTGTTTTCCTCTTGTGCATATTTAAAGGTATTTTACAGAAAATCATTTGAAATTCTGTACACATGCTGCCCAGCTGAAGACTGAATACTATATTCCATGAGTAACTACGATGACACTGGGATTTGCAAAGTCAGAAAGAAAGATTTAGCAGGGACCTGAGACCATTTTGCTGTTTTCCCAAAATTAACATTATTTCTACCTGTGAACAGAGCACTAATTCTAGTCTACCACTTCAACTGCAAGGTCTTTGTGCTGCCACTGCCTTTTGCAAGGTTTCCTTCTTCCAGACTCATTCCACCTGGCAGAAACTCCAAGTTTTATTCAAAGAGAATGAAACAGAACTAACCAGACTGAAATCTGCTGGATGTGCAGAGGGAAGTGAAAGGAGTATTCAGAAAAGGATGAACTGAGGAAAAATAAAGCAAGAAGCAATGACAGAAATAGATGAGTAAGAAAATGATACTTTCTTCATGTGCAGCACTGCTCATCACTGAGTAACAACATCCTATCACTGCTCTTGTTTCCCTGCACTTACTTCCACCAGTGACCATCTCCATCCCCACTGCACACTATTCATCTTGAAACTCCTTTGCAATATTGTGCAGAAGTTTAACTTTCAGAATGTGCCAAGCAGAAGATACTGACATTACAAATACACACTGAACTAACACACTCACATGTATAGCTTGTCTCTCTCTAAAAATATAATTAGACCAAAATTTTTCCAAATATTTTCATACTGCCAGGCTGGCAATGTTTTGTATAAATCTTTCTTCAGGTCTGAAACAAAAACAGTAACTTGTGAACTACAAATTAGTTGAGAAAAATTGTTTGGAAATTAGTTTGATATTTTTCATCAACAATTAGAGACAAGGCAGCTCTAAGTGTCAAATGGGTGGATGCCAGAAGGGTGAATGTGGTGAAGTACCTCCTCTAGTTAGTCACAGAAGAGCAGTGCCTCTACCTCCATAAGGAGGTGACCATGAACACCTACCAACCAAGTCTCAGGTACAACTCAAGATTGGCCAAATTCTACTGTCTTCATCGAAGTCACCAATGGGACACTCCTTAATAGAAACCAGCATCCTCTTCTACTGTAGTCAAACAGCACTACCTTTATTTTCCTATTATGAATTATCTTATCTAAACCAAATGCACACAGCTTTCCAAATGACAGAATTACTGAAGAACTGGTAGCAGGACACATAATCAGGCAGGACACATCCTCTCACCCCTATCTGAACTTCAGAGAAAGAAAAATCTTTCAGGAACAACTGTCTCTCAGATACTTCACTGATTTGCATGAACCTTGCCACATTTGGTACCACTATACATTCCTTAAATCTTTAATATCATATTTTTTTTATTAAATACTGAATCATTTAACAACTATAGCAGAATTAAGAGCTGCTTCAGAGAAGACATCCATTACATCAACTGCAACAGAAACGACGTAAGCCATGAAAGCCTATTGGTGGTACTGACCACTGTGACTGTTGCTATTTTGAGCACTGCTTACCATTAATGATGATCTAAACCTTGTACCAAAACTGCTATTTTACTTGAATTTAGCCTTCATATACAGTAAGGATATAGTGGAGACTACAAATCATCATCACAGCTAAACACATAGCAAGGTGACAGTTCAAATGTTACAGATCCCTGCAATTTCTGAGTAGTAGTAGTGCAACTTTGCAGCACACTAGAGGAGCAACTGTCAATCAACTGAAGTTCAAAAAAAAATAAGGCATGTCATGGACAACAGACAGAAGTTATAATGAAATATGCCAGGAATTGTATTCATTCTTTTTGTTGTTTGTATTCTCAGATGCAGCAACAATAAAAGGTGTGGAATATAATTCTAAACATAAATTGAGGTGGTGAAGCCACAATAAATGACTGAGGCAAAATGTTTTTAAGATACAGAACTGAGTTCAAATTTATTCATACCTCACCATAAGCCTCCCTCTCACGGAAGTGATTCAACTTTCCCGTGTCTCAGGTAGATGCTGAAGTATACAAGCAAAAGCAGATTTGGTACTGTTAAATTGATCCTTTCCTGCCATCTAGGGGACACAAACTGGTGTGCAGAGGACTGTCTTCTGTTACACACAGGGAAACTTTCTATACAAAAGGTTTCTCTCTACCCAGCAAAACAAAAATCAACTTAATTGAAGAGTAACACACCTACCAAGAAACAACCCTAACTGATAAATAGCACAACTATTTTATTAGAGACCAAACTTGTAACAGTTTAATTCTGGCATAATCCTAAAATTTTCTACAGTAAATTTCAGTTAAATGATCAGCAAAAATATTGAGGTGGTAATTTAAGCCTCACTTTTATGACATATAACCATGTCTTCTGAGCTACACAGCCATGAGAAAAGCCTTTTGATTTTCCTTGATTCCTCAAGACAGCAAGATGTGTGATGCTATAACCAGTGTGTCACTGTCAACAGCCAATAGAGAAAGAAAAAGGATTGTCTGTCAACCCAGAAAGTGAGGAAGTCAGAAAAAGCCTAATTGTTTCACACCTGATATTATGAAAATTTAGCTTAGAAACTCAGAACTTGATTTTTAATACATCACTAATGTGAAGTCTCAAGTCTCCTGCCTGCATGGCGGGCATACACATTGTGTAAACATCATGTACCTTTCCAATGCACCACCCTCCAGGAAACGAAACATAGAACCACTCAGTGTTGAAAGACCATCAAGGTAATTTTGGAAAAAGTTAAAGGTTTTTCCAAGATGCAAGTTTCTATTGATAATGTTGGCATTGTGACCAGGTTTCTCATACTTGCTCTCCTCACTGTTGCCTTCCAGACTCTTTCATAAGGCAGACTCTAAAAACGAAAGAAGCAAACTCAGCTAAACACTAAGCATAGTCAAATGCACAGGCAAAAATCCATACAAGTTTTTTCCCACTCTTTTGTTTGGATTTGTTTTGTTCTTACTTTGAAAGGGAACAATACACTAAAACAAACTCCCTTCACTAAAACAAACAAAGACCCACGCTTCCCATGGCTGAAACGATGTGACAGTCCCTTCTCCCAAGATGAAAAGAAGCAGGTGTCCAGCCAAGATGTTTTGAGAACTGGCTACAGCTGCACATGATGCAGGCCCTAAGTCTGCCCCACTGAACAGACTGGAGATGAAATTAAAGTGACAATGCTACCCTTGTGAGATACCTATTCACCAAAGAGCACTCACAAATAAGAAACCTCTCAAATTTAACAGAACAACTCAATTTTATTTTGACAACAAATATTTTGAGCAGCTGTGCCCAAGTCCTCTCCCCCTTACTGTGTGCCGTGTGTTTAAAGAGCTGGAAAGAATCACTCGTTTGGGGATACTGAAGCTCTTTACCACCTACACAAGAAAGTAAAAAAAAAAAAAACAAATAAAAAGCCATGTGCCAATGCATTTACAGCAGTATAATATAAATCTGCATAAGACATCTTAATTTCTTGAACTTAAGTTGATTAACACCGTTCTTTGGGAACAACACATTAAATACAGAATATTTTCAAAGTGCAAAACTATCAGCAATATATTTACTACATTCAGACTAGCAAACATTATGCAGTATTTGGCAATGCAAAGACATGCAGTATTCTAAGGCACACCTTTAAAAATAATTTTAATCAAATCACTTCTGGTTTAACGGGCACTGAAGTTATTAAAAACAGACCCCCAAAAATCCCACACCAGGCCTTTTTAAAAAAAAGACCCAAAACAAATCACAGCAACAATGCTGTGAACAAATTGATATTATCAATAAAACTGTTGTAGAAAATGAAGTTATTAGGTGATCAAAATCATAGCAATTGTCAAGAATGTTTCATTTTTTAAAGATATTCAAAGGTTTTAAGTGTTAAGAAATTAAAAAAAAACCCTTCCATTATTCTGATATTTTAAGGTCTACAATCTGATCATTTCCTCCTAATCAAAGTTATATGTATTCCCTCAGGTGAGACTGGATTTAGAATCAAACTACAGATTTACAAATGGTTTTAGTCAGAAGGCATTAAATACAAAATCCTTGTTTTTAAACAATCAAAAGGCTATATATCCAGATAGTGCTCTTTATAAGTATTCAGGATTACATTTCGAATTACATAAAAATAAACTTGAAAATAAATTTAAATTGCAAACTGAAATTAAGTCACCAAAGAAGAAACATCATTCATACTTTTATTTTATTTTTTCATTTATGATTTTCTTCCCTAAGAACAAAAAAAAAATCTTATTTTCGCACATTAGAACAGCTGAACATCAGAGCAAGCAGCTTTATATCAGATCTTAACCTTGCCTTGCATTCATCTTTTTCATACACTTTTCACCGATTTTCATTATTTTCTGAGTTTTTTACTTAATGCTCAACAGTCTTTCTCCTAAATGTGACTTTTGTTAACCAGCAACAATATACAACTTCATTTAACCAATCACTGTTTCCACATGTATTCAAAGTCTTTTTAACATTTATAACAACATATTTGTTGATACTTTTAAAATTTCATTCAGTTTTGTTCAAGTAAAAATGGAAGCAAATTGAAATTTACAAAGCTTAAAATTTTATTAAAGAAAAATCCATGTGCTTGAATTATCAAAACAAGATTTAACAAAAACATTTTGTCATTAAAGGCCTACAATCAATTCGCAAAATGGTTCTGGTAACCAGACTCCACGTGGTTTTTAGGCATGCAGAAGTATAGAATGGTGCTTTTGGAAGGCCTGGCAAGCATTTATGCAGGTTAGGTACCTGACTGCTGCTGGGACTTCACTAGGAATTAGGTGTCCACTATTGGTTTTGGTTTGTTTTTTTTTTTTTAATCCTCATACTTTTTGGGCGTTTAGTGGTCAGGTTTTTTGATCCTTAATGTTCTCAATTAATTCCGTATCTTTACATTATCTTGATAGATCTAACTTCATTCCCGTCAAATTGAATTAAGAGTTGCTAGGTCCAATCCTTCACCACCTGTTTTTCAAATTTCAGGTGAAGGAATCTAACTCAAACACCGCCAAAAGTTCTCTCCTTGTGCAAATAAGACTAAAACCAAAAATTAAGGCAAAATAATTTCTCTGCAAAAAGTCTGAAAACATATGTGATAGTAGGTAAATAAATGTCAAGATTAGCTTCAGTCTGAAGTCTACAGACACAGCACCATGGTATTGTTTTGTTTATAAATCTGGCTTCCCTTTTGATTTTGCATTCATTTAGAAAACAGCATTCTCACTAAAAGGTGAGGAAGGCTCATGTATACAGAATTAAAAACTTTAACAATATACAGCAAGTCTACACGTAACACTGGTTGCTGTTATTCCAAATTTAATTATTGAGAGATTTATTTTTAAAAAGGTATTCAAGTTCTAAATGACTACTCTAGCACTTAATAACAAAATTTTTTATCCTCTGTACAGAGATGTATTTTCAAGTAAAAGAATCATCTCCTAGAACTACATATCAGAGAAACTGAGACTGAAACAGATTTTTTTTAAGGCAGAAGTTCCACTGTATACCAGGTTAAAAGCCACCACAATATTAACTATAGCTAACTCATTAAGGACTTAAAAATTCATATTCGTAACTATTAATTCCAGTGCTGGCTAGAATGCTACTGATGTTCTGGGAAGTCTAGCTGGAGATATGGTTATCCTCAGAGGTTAAAGAAAGCTATGGCAGAGTAAAGTTAACCTAATCACTACTTTTAATCATTAAATAAAATGTGCTCATTTATGTTAGTAAGTTATACAAACTATTTAGAAAGAGGAAGTATGAAATACTGACAATGACAAAACAGATTTTAAAAGGCTACCATCAAAAAAGTTAGAATACATATTCAGAGGAATTTCAATGCCTAAAAACAGATTCACATATGTTCATCCACCGGAAGATTAGTGTATTAAAAAAAGTTAAGAAAATACTTTTGTGTTTCAGTTCAACTGCACTTGATTCAAGCACAGCTTAGGAGTTGGCTGATATAAATTAAACATGGTCACTGCCTCAGCAGCCAAAAGTACAGAAAAATGTACATGTTCACAGGATAAATAGAAGTCTCTTCTTTTGGAGGAATAAAAAAAAAAGTAAAAAAGCTATCTCACTCCAATACGGGAGGTCATCCACTCCAAGCCTTGGCATAATCTGAAAGATAAGAGATGTTATTGGTACTAGTTCTATCCCAAAATCTTGAAAGTATTTTCTGGCTGACTTTATGTGTAAAAACATCTACTTGAAATAAATTAAATCAACTGGAAATGGGATTGAAAGTTGAGCAGAGTAAGCAGTGTTTTAAGTTAATTCTATAGGCTTTAACCACAAGCAAAAGGTCATGCATTCTATTTTATTGAAGTTTGGCAGCACTTCAATTTTTTTTCGTGGTAAACCTGAGAGACACTACTCCTAAATGCTAACTCATAAGCACCTGGAACCAAACAAGTTTTTCTTTTTCTACAGATTTCCCAAGAAAGACTGTTTACATGAAAGCTAGACCTTTATATACTAACTAAAAGACAAAGGGCAGGTTAACCAGACTGAATTGTTTAACGAAAAGGCAGTGTATCAAGAATTCCAAAATCACATTACAAAATTAAAAGTATGTTTATATTGAATAATAAGACTGCATGGGATCTAATCTGTTTACTAACTCAATCTCCATCTCCATTTAAAAGTCTTCCATTTTAGAACATCGGCTTTCCTTTGATTTTCTAGCAATCTAGTTACCTTGTTTGTGCCCCCTAAGTTTTACCTTTGTAAAGGAAATCATGACTTAGCTATCCAAGAATGCTAACTTCATGAACACAGGGCTAATCTCCCTAGACTTCTGTCAGATCTTTCCAAGGAAGACTCAGCTCAGCAATCTAACTCTGGGATTTTTTTTATATATTGGTCTTACTATTGTCACAGTTTAAATTATTCTAAATATTCTTTTTTTTTTTACAATAAGAAAGAAGCAGCCTATGATGGCCACTCTTTCTAAACTAAAGTTCATATTTATTAATTATTACTTTCTTTCAAATGTCAAATTGGTTGAAGATCTTAGTACATAAACTGAGTATTTAAAAGTGACTTTAGCAAAATTGGTAGAAGGACACCAGAATTAACCCTTAGAATGAAACAGAATGAAAAAACCAGTTTGTCCTCAGTAACGCATCCCACCCTAAGGAAGTTAATGTCACCATTCACTCTTCAAGATATCTCCATTACATTAGAAAATACTTCATATTAGAAAGTGAGGAAGATGCTCTCACTTCCCAAATACTCAGTTGGATTCACTATTTTTGATGTCACAAGACTGCATTATTATAAAGGTTGTACAACACAGCTGAAAAAAACCTCTAAATATTACACATTATAAGACTGCTTTAAAAATCAAGATGAAAAATTAGCACATTTCACACCTACAAGCAAGGCATTATTCAACTTGTTAAAAGGCATCCAAAATTGTTTTTTGATCTTCACAGACAAGAGATCTAAGGAAAGTTCAGCTTCCCATTTTAGTAATTGCTGGCATAAGGTATTCAAATTTCAAAATTAGCTACATTAGCCAGATATAAACAAAATGTTAAGTATTGATAACAATTTTGGCTTTTTATACCTTTTCATCTAAACTATGTTTCAATGCTTATCAAAAAACCCAATCAACCAAAAAAACCCCACCCCAACCCACCAACTTAGAAGCTTCCTACAGATTAGAATGTAAAGGAAGAAAATAGAAGCTTATTTCTTTACATACACCAAGACATACAGAATAAAGGAGTAGTGCAAAGAGAGTAGACAGTTATGCCAACAGCTACATATTTGGGTCAAAGAGTGTTGTTTGGTTTTTGTTTTGGAGTTTTTAACAATAAACTAAAAGACTTTCATACGAACATGGAGCTCGAGCTATGAAAAAACCCACAAAGTTAAAAAAAAAATATGAAAAATTCAAAATACCCCTCTTAACTGTAAAGAGCAAAAAATATGTTCTTTCAGAAAATCCACACCGGCATCAAAAGGATTCTAAATCAGTATTCTCATTTGCCACAAATTGCTGTACTAAGCAGTTAGCATTTACCCTTCTCCTGTCAAAGCACAACAGGATTGAATGTGCCACGGGTGATCCTTTATGGAGCTGAGGGTGAGGTATGTAGATATCTCAGCAGCTGTCATGCAGCCTTTCATGTCCTGCTTGTTTGCAAAGATGAGAACTGCAGCCTTCCGTAAATCCTAGAAATGATTTAGAGTACTCATAACAGTTATTATGAAAAACTAAAAGGCTATTGTGCTAATTTAATTTCTTAAAAGAACTGTATTCAAGCGAATCTAAAATTACACATGAGTATGGAATTTTAACCAACTTTCTGTAGTAAAAATTCATTACATTAAGACTGAAGAGACTAATTTATTCAGTTCTCCACCACAGAGGATCAAATTGAAATGTAATATGAGTACCATTTTGGTATCGGCAACATGTTCATATATAACTAATGAAAGTCTTGTTAAAATATATTTCATAATGCCCCAAACCACCCAGCCAGCAGAATTATTACTGGCAAACATTTCAAACTCTACAATAGATACTATTCAAAGGGAAAAGCCTGCTAGATATCATTCCCTTGAAATCACTTTCAACGTCATTAAACAAGTTCTGCAGTGACTAAAACAGTAATAAATTAAGAAAGCTATCTGAATTCATGTAAGTTTAATCCTGGTGTTCCAAAAAGGGAGCTGTAACAATGCTGCAGCAGCTTTAGTAACTACTTAAAAGTTGCTTTGTTTCAGTGTGGAATTTAGGATTCCAAACAGCACTGAGGCAAGAACTGGGATGTATGGCTTTAGAGGTGCAGAAGGGTAAACAAATGCAATACTCAGGAGGCTGATAGTTGCAATTAAGTGTTCAATATGCTTCAGTGTATATTAAATCTGGGACTATTTCTCCATCAAGAGGAAGAAAAACAACAACAAAGTTTTATGATCTAAAGCTGAAAATTCACTCCTACAAGTAGTCCAGTCTAGGCCTACCAACTATCAAGAGATGGCAGATCACAATTTCATAAGAGTTTAAGACTGGAAACTAATAAACTACATGGGAAAACTTCACCACAAGAAGTCATCTTCCCACTTCTTTTGGTAGCGTATTTGTTCCTTACTACTAGACCCAAACTACTTTAATATAAAATCGTAAAGCAAAAACTCACTTATTCAAAACAAAGCAAGATTCTCAGAGAAATGAACAGAATTACTTGCACTGTACTAAATCCTTTCTTTCAAAAACGAGAGAGAACACTTAGATTTAAAACAAACAATTTAGCTTGAGAGTGTTTAGCTAATCCAATGTACATGTTAGTTTAGAAAGTTTGAGGGAGTTGACCCAACGTTGAACAACTCAAACAAAAGTACAAACAAAACAATCCATAAGGAAAATGAACTAAATTAATTTACCCATAGTATTATATATGCTCCTTAAGTTTAAGGAACAGGATTAAAACAAACAAGAAAAAGTAAGGAATTCCATTTTTCTAAAATAAAAATTAAAAAAAAAATGTTTCTTGAAATTTTAACCATTTAACTGAAAGGAGACTGTAGTAGAGGACAATAATTCCTTTTTAAACTAATATGAAGCGTAAGATATTTTAGAACATCTGCAAAGATTGATCTGATTACAATCAAGTAAGCCTTAATAGAGAGTGCTTCACAATAATTTTTCTGCTTATTTATAGTTTATGTGGTTTTAAAATGTGACTAACATGCATGCACATTTATTCTCAGATTTTTTTTTTTGACAGTATAATTTTTGTTAGCATAGGAAGCATGTAATGTTATTTGACTGTTCTCAACAAAACTATTATCCCAACTCCCCACCATACCTCATGAGCCAGCATTCTATAAAGTTCTTCTTTTGTAATAGAAAGTCGCTCTCTATCAATGCTGTCAACAACCAGAATGATGAACTAGGGAAAAAACCCAACAGTAGAGTACATAAGTAAAAAGTATAAATTACAGAAAGCACATTTTCAAGAGATCACTAACTGCAAGTCTTCCTCTAGAAGAGACATACACTTCCAGGACACTAGAAAAGGGAAAAGTTTTATTGCTACAGTCTTTTGCTAGAGCTGTGGGAATCATACATGAAGATTATAGCTAAAAAAAAATAATCGGACAATGTCATGCTTGCACATTTCAGCATTATTATTAAGATCTGCCTATATGTACTACGGCTAAATCTCCTTGGTGGATTTTCAGGCTATATATCATACTTAAAATAGCTATGTTACTACCAAAAAGCACCCACAGATAGTGGATTACATTTAAAATGTGAATGACAAATGTGCTACAGATGTCAACAATGAAAACAGCTGCTACTGTCCACTACTACTTGCATACTTAGGAAATTATAAATCTGAAATTGAAATTATGTACTTTTAAAGAAGCATATTTTACTTTACAGTTCAGCATCATTTTACTCACAAGGCTTAAGAAAGATTATTTCAAAGCAGTACATCAGATGTCACAAAGCTATGTATCTGCAGGGCTTAGCACTATGTTGCTGCAAACTTCATTTTACCAAGGACCTGTGCAGTTGGCCTCTCACAACTTTGTACCCTTCCATCTTTTGGTGAAGCCCTTCCATGCTTTGGGAGATGGCTGTAGCAGTGATTTTACTCTTACTATTCCCCTTAGGCACATTATTCTTAAGGCCTTGCACTTGTGGACTCTGGGACACTGCTAGGTCTGGTAGATCAGGCCTCCCATAGAAAGCAATTGTCACTGGTATGAAAATGACTGTCTACTACCCACTCTTTCTGCTCCTTGTTTTGTACCTTCTATTTTATAGCCTTGCACTAGAGAGGAAAAAGACACAGCATCACGCAGTAGGTAACACTCAAGCAAATTCTCGTAAGCATCACACAACAGTATTTGCACACAAAGCATAACAACTGATCAACACTTCAATACTTGCCCTGCTCAGTGTGCTCCAAGCAGTGCTAACAGTATCATGGGGGGGGCAATGAGTAGGGAGACCAAGCACATTCTGATGAAAATTATGCAGATACTATAACAACAATAAAATAAATTACAGGGAACATATGCTACGCTGGAGAGGAAATCAGGAAGATTACATTCATCTGACAGATTCCATTACTTCTATGCCCAGATGACAGTACTTCTCAACCCCTTTTCTGCTTCTCTGTAACTCTCTTTGTTCACCTGCAAACCCAATAACTTAACCATGGGAGCTCCCTCCCCTTTCCTGTCCTCCCAGATTTTTAAGTCTGTCTTAACATCCTCTCTGTAAGAATATGATCTAACACTTAAAACAGTATTGCAGAACTAGCCATATTAAGTTGAAACTAATTAGGACAGGTATGCACTAAAATGCTTATTTGTGGGACTTTTACATTACTCCAAAGATTTTGTGTAGATTGCTCCAATTTGCACACAAGGAAAGAGAGAAAAGAGAGACAGTAACAGAAAAGGAGAATTAGAAATCACTGCTATAATTTTCCAACATATGCTCCAAATCTCTTTGCCTCAGAAAATTAAAGAGATTCATTAGCCATTGAGAATGACCACAGAGAATGAAAAACTAAGTCAATTTAATGCTGCTGTGACTCTGAGATGCCTAGCAGATGAGGAGGAACAGTAAAGAAATTATTCATATCAGGGAGGCTAGGATTGGCATACTAAACAGATCTCTTTTCTTCCTCAACTGTTTCCAGCAGACAAAGCTTCTAAGTAAAAGGGAAGTTCTTCTTTCCAAGTACTAAAAGGCACTGGATTTCAAACACTTACTAGCCAGAATATGATGAAGAACATCACAAAAGTATCAGAAAAAGAACTAATATATGCATCTCTCCAAATTCCAAAATCAAAGGTACTCAAGGGACAAAAGCCAAGAACTTACTGCTCTGTAGCAGATAGTGCAAGCAGAAGTGTCTTCAACCTCATGTGTGTCTTAGATGTAGCTATACTTTTCCAGAAAAAATTAAAAATTACTTTAAAACATTAGAGATGAAGGTTGAGATGTCATCACCAGGTTTTCAGTAGACCTAGGATGGATTGCTAATCTCATCTCTCTCCAAGAGAAGTATAGGACAGAAAAATCTCATTTTACAGGAGGATGGAATACTTACATAATGAGCAGTATTTACAAGAGATTTCTGGTTTTAGTAGAAATTGTAAGTAATTAAGCCTAAAATAGTTTACATCAGTGTAGATGTCTCAAAATGACTCCTCAGAGATTATATGTGCATTTTGTATTGATAACCTTTTGGCAGCAAAAAGGCTGGCATAAAAAACAAACCCCCAAAAGACAACTGACACTGAATTCCAACCTTTCCAGCAATGGCAGCTTTGCCAGTACCTCATGAGTATTGCAAAGCTAGACTTTCCTTTACCCTTGGATAAAAGCCACAAGCTGGTGAGCTTTTTAAATACCGTTGCCTAGATAAAGTTTCATTCTTCATCCTTAATTATCATTATTTCAAAAACATCTCAGACTAGATGTACAGAAGTCAGGTTGACCACTGCAAATCCTCACTAAATTTGCAAATTACAATGCAAAATTTTCATTTTAATCTACTTAAAGAAACCATGCAAGAAATCTGATCTGAAATGTACATTGATATCATTAAATGTCTAGGAAAAAAGTCTAACTTCATAGTTTATATCATAGATCAAACAACAGTACTGTAAAGTAAACAGGAAAACTACTTTAAATATTACCAGAGAATTGGTTGCATACCAGAGATACCTCACACTTTTTGGGTTTGTTTTTGCTCAATGGGATTTAAAAACAATACAGCTGCAATCTTTATAAAAATGTACCAATATTCCTAATAAATAAATATAATTTCTAACAACCTTGCAAAGCAGCTTCTCATACCTCTGTGTTTGAATAATAGGTATTCCATGATGACCGTAATGATTCTTGTCCTCCAATATCCCACATTAAGAAATGAGTGTTTTTCACCACTATTTCTTCTACATTGCTTCCTATGGTTGGAGAAGTATGAACCACCTCATTCATTAAACTAAAGGAAACAATATCACACAAAGGACCAATCAAAAAAATCCACAAGGCTTGTTACAGCTCAGTTATAATAAATTTGTTGTAGAAAAAGTAAATATGTGTAACTGATTAAAAAAATAATAAAAACCAGGCATATTTTAAAAAAACTACACATATGAAATTTATGGAATGCAGTGACTGTAGACATGCTTAAAGACATCAGCAATGAAAAATAAGCACATAAAAGGCATAACAAATGGATAAGCATCTGCATTTTAGGAGGATTCTCTTTTTAAAGGATATTAACAGATACTTAAAATGCACTTGTCTTAAAGTAGAAGCTGCTATTCTAAAGATCCCAAATATGGGAATGTTGAACCGTGCAAAATACAAATCAGAAGATAATTTTATCAGAGCACTCTACTTAGTAACTCAATATTACAACCAATCCCAAAGGACTGTTTGGTTACATAGCCGAAAATTCCTCAGTTCTACCTTTAAACTTACTCAAAAATACTTAGGGAAAAAAATGTATTTTGGGAAAACATACTCTGCTGCTTTTGTATCCAAATATACGGACAGTAATTTAGCTCCATCCTCCCTCTTTTCTACAATTACAATAGTAATTATGGTCCTGCTGACATTCTTGAATTTATCGTGGATATTCTTGTAATGCTGGCAAGATTTGGGTGCAATGATGCCATTGAAAATGCCTAAGGTAGAACCTGGGCAAGATGAAATACTATTTTTAGGAATTCTCCATCACAAATTTTAGACACAGGAACAGGGAAACATTTGGAAATATTTATGGATTTTTGCAGAGTGGCTAGAATTTCCATTAATTTAAAAACATGCTCTTCTCTGCAGTTACTGGCAACAGGATTATTTCTACGCTTACAAATTCAGATGGGCTTTGATGGCAAAAAAATTGCAGTTCACTTTGTGCTTATATGTACAATTTTGTTATTCAATTTACAGTTCAGTTTTAAAGCATGGCAATTGCTTCTCTTATCCTTTAAATATTTACTCTGTTTAGAACAACTAATACTGTTAACGTACAAACTGTGATCTGGAATCCTAGAGATTCTGCCAGGTTACAAAGCTGAATTTTCAATGATTAAACAGTGACAAATACTAAAATGCAAACAGGAAAACAAAGTAGTTCATGTACTTACAACTGGTAAAGAATAGTAGTCTTTCCAGCATTATCAAGTCCCACTATGATTACTTTGTGCTCTGGATATACAAAAAAAAAAAAAAAGAAGACAAAAATAAATTACTGGAAACAGCAACAGTTATAATTCTGGTTAATCACTTTTCCTTACTGAAGAAAGTAACAGCTTGTTTGCCTTATTTCAATAGCTTACATAGAATAGTGGCAGCTTCAAGACAAAAAAAAAAAAAAGCCGAACAAAACTACAAAGCCTCATCTTCTCTTGAGACTACAATCTTGGGAAAAGTCAGCACTGGAGATCTTCAGAAAGGAATAGTTACTTCATGAAAAAAATCTAGTTTTAGAAAGAAAAGTACAATGAAAAAATGTAACTCATAGCAGCGTATCATCTTAAGAACATCACCAAACATCCAAAGACTGCAAAAACTTTAGCCTAATGGTCAAGGCTCAATAAAAGCCACTTGTTAAGGGACCACCATTATCCATATAGTAGAATCTAAGAGGAATCTGCATTTCGAATAGACTGCAAATTCCAACTTTTCAACTTCTAAATTGAAAGTCACAGAATGACAGAATGGTCACAGAATGACAGAAGGTCTAAAGACACCTCTGAAGGTCACCTAGTTCAACCCTCTAGCTCAACCAGGGCCACCTGGAGCCAACGGCCTAGGACCATGGCCAGATGGGTTTTGAATGTATCCAAGAATGGCAACTCGATAGTGCCCCTGGACAACCTGTGCCAGTGCTCAGAGTTTCCTGACGTAAAGAGAGAACCTCCTGTGTTTCAGGTGCTCTGTTGCCTGATCCTGTCACAAGGCACCACTGAGACAATCTGACCCTGTCCCTTTTGCATCTCTTTTCTCATATGTGAGATGTTCCAATTCCTTAATCATCCCTGTGGCCCACCACTGGACTCTCTCCTGTATGTCCATTTCTCTCTTGCAGTAAAGAGCACAGAACTGGACACACTATTCCAGGAGAGGCCTCACCAGTGCTGAGCAGAAAGAAAAGATCACCTCTCTCAAAAAAAAAAAAAAAAAAAAAAAAAAAAAAAAAATTATTATTAAAAATAAAATCGCTTTTTCCTGCATCAGACAAACCCAGACCCTCCCTGCTGCAAAGTCCAGCTTATAGAACAGTGATCTTTCAATTGCCGCAATATCAATTTTTCCAGGCACGGGGTAACAAAACAGAAAACAAACAAACAAAAAACCCCTTCAGAATTTATATGCTTCTCTGTAAATAATCCTTCTAAGAATTTCAAATCCAGCAGCACAGCCAATTAGAATAGTGGTTCTTCTGCTACATGTGTGAAGTTAAAAGGTACCAATCCACTTACTGACAAAAAGGCAAGTCACTTGAGACTGGCAAATTTGCAAATGGATACTAGAAGTAAAATGTATTTACAAAGTCTGTGAACAAGCTCACTTTTGAAGGGATAATATTTACAATGCTAGGGCACTTACTCTAAAGCAAAACATGGTTCACAGCTTAAGATTTCCTGTAAAATACTGCACTTGATTTGCAAAACTTATAGTAAGTTGGTAGAAAATCAGAAGATCTATCATAAATGTCAAATTGGTAGGGTTTTGCCCACAAGTGGGTGGTTTAAGGTAGTATTAAAGTGCTTGTTTTCTGGGTTTTGTTTTGGTCTTAAATCTATTGACATGTAATTACCTACATCTTTTCATACTGAAAGTGACTAATGAAAGATTCCAGTTTGGGAATTTTAGAAGTTTTGCTAGGCAATACCATCATAACAAATGCTGAAATGTATTTCCTTGTGCCAGTTCCCCTACTACTGCATCCTGTCAACACATTCTAAGGAAAGAATTTTTCCTGGCCTTAAATCCAATAGTACTTCTAGGACCATAAGCAGCAGCGCCAGTAATGAGTAACATTTCCCAAAACAGAAATACTACGAAATCCTCTCTGCTTTCAATGCTGATAAACCATCCCTCATAGTTTGACTGTCCATCTCTTATTCAAATTCAGTCAAAGAGTTCTCAAAGTTCAAACACAGAAATACTCTTTGGTTGTTTTCAAACCAGACATGTTGTCAACCATTGCCTGGAAGAACATGACCCTACTTTAGCAACATTCCATTTCCAAAACGAATTCCAGTCAGGCATTACATTGCTCTTTCTCACCTTTCACTACAATACAATGCTTAGGTGTGAATTACTGGAGTGCTGGACTAAACAATATCACCCTACTTAAAGTAATAAAAAAGATCTCCATTGAGATGACTGTTTTTGAAAGCCACCGAAGTGTGAATGGTTTGACATTATTTGGAAAAAAAGGCACAGCTTATCTGTGTTACTCCATAGTCAAATGGTATTTCACACAGTAACTGAATAACCACAATATTCAGACAAGAAATAGTCACACAAGTGTTAATTAATGGTGATCTGGGGATGAACATAATAAGATGAACGCATTGGTATCTCACACAAATAGCAGTTTCCACCTTTTATTAATGGCAGTTGCTATTAATATAGTAATGGTAAACTCTAGATATATATTCTAGATTATTATTCTATGTTTCAATTCTATATTTCCATTCTATAGTTCTAGATATAGAACTATAGTAATGGAAAACTTCACTTACAAACACATTCAAAAGTTGAAGTTCTGTCTAGTTTGGTTAAAATACAGAACATTAACACACAGATGTGCATTAGAGGAAAAACACGTGAACTTAAAAACTGCCAAACCAAGAGAGAACAGAATTTTAGCAAGACAAATACTTGTTTACAAGAGCAACTAGTAGAAGACAGATGCCACATTTAGGAGAAAGGACAGTTATGGGGTAAACCATAGGCAGTGTTTATTGGTGTTCTGTACTTACAGACTAACCCAAGTTTCTCCCTTTCACTGGCTGGTATTCAAACTCATTTTGGGTTGTATTCATGAATATCTTCCCAGTCCACCATGTTCTTGGCAAAGGAAGAAGAAAATCCATAACAAAGTTGACAGAGCAGAAGACAAGAGTCAGGTAGGAAGGGGGGGGAAGTAGAAAAAGTAGGCATATGTAGCAGGGGGAAAAGACAGTATTAGACTACTCTTTAAAAGAATCCAAAGACTTCTGTCATATCAACCATTCTTAGCTCACTGTTAAAAAAATAAAGTAGTATTGTTAAAAAAATCTCTGGCAGTCTACTATTACAAAACCGCAGGACAGTGAAAACGATCTTCTTGCAGATGTTCCAAGAAAGACAAAATATGTTCTTTTTTTAACTTACTCTTATATATTTCTCTGTGGTAAAAGGGCCCAAAACTGAAGATTCAATTCTCACAACTTTGCCCTTCCCTCTTTTTTCAAAAGTTAAATTAAAAAAAAAATAATAATTTCTAAATACAATAATGATGCGGCTCTTCCAACACACTCAAAAGAAGAAATGGGTACCAGAAAGGGTACCAGTACTTTTCAGACAAAACACACATCTACTTTCGAATAGTAAGGATCTTGGAAGCTTCAAAGTTGAAGACAGAATGCAGATAGAAGTTTCCTGAAGAGGAGGCAGGAGGAATAGCATATTTCTAAATGTCAATGGGGTTTCAATACAAATACTCAGTTTGGATACTAAAAGCTACCTTAGAGTCTTCTTTAAAGCACAAAAAAACCTGCTTAAATACATCTTGATTACAAGAAGGCAGAGAAACTGTCAATAGTATTTAGTAGTCATTGGAACCAAAATCTATTTGGTTTTCCAGATAATGGTCTCTTCCAACCTGACTGTACAGTCTGGGAACTGTCAGCAAGCCTAAGTGACGTGAACTGTGGAGTTCCAGAAGTTCCTTGAATTAGAGCTTACCATTGGTTTTCTTAAAGCAATTTTTACAACTGCAGCAATTATTCTGAGCACCCTGAAGACTCTGAACAACCACCATTTTAAAATAATTAAAAACCAGATTTGTGAGCTTCTTAATGAACTTACTATACACACACAAAAAAACCCAAGGTATTGACAACTGTCAGTTACCTTTATCAGTGTTGCTGACATTCACTTCTGGTTTTTTCCTTATAGTTTCATTAAGAGCAATCTTGATAGCATTGATAGAATATGTCACACAAGTTTTACTCAGTCATGTAACACAGCAGTAACTTAAGCAGCTCCACCATTTATTCATATTAGTACATGTTGGTTAGAAGACTCTGCCATTTGAGTACTGCACCATAGCTTCAGCAGGTCACTTTTGAAATCTGATTTTTTCTTCAAACTTCCATAAGTAAGTTATTTTTATAGTAAGTATAAGTAAGTTCAATCTTAAGTCACTTAGTAATTAGCCTTAAATGACTGCGGGGCACGAAATTTTAAACAAAAACAACACTTGAGGCAATGTTTTTTCTCAATTTCAAAAATAAGGGAAAAGAATCAGGAAGCCATTAGAAAGTCACCTAGAAAAGAGACAAAAGTCTATTTTAAGCCCAATTGCTTCTCTTATGAGTAAAAGTACCTCTACTTCAATTCACATCATTCAATTACTACTTGATTATGACACAATATATATGGAGAGCTGAAAGACACAGAAATGCTTATATTCCTCCCTCCTTCAGGCCTTAACCTCTGCACTGAAAAGGCCCAGAAACCAGAAAACAAGATTAAATCATCATGGCTAGGCTTTGCGAACGAAGATTTGGGAAGGGTTCTACCCATGTTTGTTACAAGCGCGTTGGTGGCTAAAAAGGCCAATACGAGACAGGCACGTCCAGTTGCAAAAGGCACAGCAGGAAGACTCCTTAGGTGGTAGATTCTGCAAGACAACATTCTTTCTGCGTTGTCTTTTCTCCTCAAGGGTAATCCTGTGTGCTTTCTCAAAAGCAATAGCAGCGTTATAGATGGTGTGTCTCCAGACCTCCCGGTTGGAGGCCAGAGTAGACCAGTTATGGTGATCAATATGGCCAAGGTTGAGATGTTGTTTCAGGGAGTCCTTGTATCTTCTCTTGGGGGCTCCTCTCTTGCGGCAGCCGGTGGTCAATTCACCATAAAGCAAGATCTTAGGGAGGCGGTGGTCCTTCATCCTGGAAACGTGTCCTGCCCAGTGAAGCTGTGTTCTC